ACAGACTTGGGAATGCTGAGCGGCAATACAGCACCGCGGCCATACTGGGCCTCAGAGAGCACTAGGGATGTCCTACGGCTGTTGTTGGCGCTATTGTTTGCGCTTTTGCTGTGAATATTGGTTCTGCTGGTGTTGTTTCTGCCGCTATTGTTTCTGTTACCGCTGCTGCTGCTGTTCATAATCAACATCACCTGCTGCACGACCCGGCTGGCACTCAGGGACGGCTGCCGCTTACGCGTCAGAGGGCAGAACACGTCAGCTAGCTCGGTGGCAACATCGACAGAAAGCTGCTTGCAGCAGACGGGCAGGTCCGTGCTGGCGCCCTGCAGGGTGGCACGGATAGTTGTACCGATGTTGTCAATGGCATCCTGCGGCGTCGAGGAGTCCTCCCGCGCATGTTTATCGTGGTGCCTGGCAGCCAGGCCGCGTACGAGGACAATAAGCTTCTTGTCGTTAGCCCGGCCCACCGATGGACTCGGGCTGCGGTGTTGCTGGGCAGCAGCATGTGCTTTGCGGTCGGTTTCCGACGAGAGCGCCAGCCAGGCCTTTTCGAGGGCGTTGCTGTCGCCCTGGGCAAAGGGCCGGAGCGGCAGCTTGCCGGCCCTGGCATCAGTGCCGGTGGCTGTAGCCGCCGAGAGCGGGTCATCGAGGGAGATAGGCGACGAGTAGAAGAACTGTGCGTTGGCTGCCGGAATGCCCTCGAGCAGCCGCGAGTCGGCCGCGGGCTGTGGCACAGGTGCCAGCCGGCAATGCGGGCCATATGTGTGCTGCTGGTCTGCGTGACGACCAGCCATTGGCAGTAGAAGCCTGCCGCAGATGCCGGCGTCGTTCGATGGCGACGCGGCCACGCAGTCTTGCTCAGTATTTTGTCTTTTCCCGGGACACTGCAGATGGAGACGAGGCTGAGGAGAAGGCAGCGCGTGAGGACGATTTTGCGAAACCGCAGAAGTGTCAGACCGAAAGTCTTCTGGTCAGGCAACCAGACTGGAGGCGTCCGAAGGGGGTGGAAAAGAAATTTGCCTGATCGTCGGCAAAATGCTGCCTGTTGCCCCGTTGTCGGATAGCTGTAGCAAATAAGGCTGTTGCCATTACAGGAAAATGCAGCTTGAAGGAGTAATCCGATAGAGACACGAGCTAGCGAATGGGAAGGCAGCGTATGACGTGTTGTGGTTGTGCAATGAGTGCTGATTGGCCTTTGGATGGGCCCAGCGCCAGCACATGCTGGCAATGCAGGGAAGGTGCAACTTGCGGCCCCCCTCCCCCCCGTGCATTGCTATGTTTTTTTATGACATTGTTACCACAAGTCCACATGACCATACGTTGCCTCGAGCATCCCACGGTTATATACCGAACACTGCATACTTTACTTGACCACATGTGCCCCTCGCAGATATTACAATTATAGTTCGGATTATTTGGTATTTACTACACGGTAGACAAAACAAATAGCTACATCATTGTATACGGATATGGCGGCATTGTTGTGGGATGCGAGTTCGGCAGTCGGGTAAGATTGGCGTTACAACATTGCAGCGTTATTACACTCACACGTTCATTGAAGATACGCTTCAGTTATCATGAATCAATGCTTTGGAGACAGCCGTACTTGCTGCAATTCTGTAGTGTACAATCCTCAAGGAAACCCAAAATAAGCCATCGCGGCCAAACGCCTTGTATTATCCCCAGCCGGTGAAACCCAATCATCACGATGACATCCCGATGTATGCTGTGTCGTCAAAGTTACTGATGTCTGACAGCATATTTAGTTGCGCTCACCGCGAAGACGGCGGGCAAGCTGGATGTCCTTAGACTGGATCGTGACACGCTTGGCGTGGATGGCGCAAAGGTTGGTGTCCTCAAACAGGGAGACGAGGTAGGACTCGACCGACTCCTGCAGAGCGCCGATGGCCGACGACTGGAAGCGAAGATCAGACTTGAAGTCCTGAGCAATCTCACGAACCTGGTATATTATTAGAAAATGTGGTTTGTTTGTGTATTTTTTTAAAGTGCGAGACATACCAGACGCTGGAACGGCAGCTTGCGGATCAGAAGCTCGGTCGACTTCTGGTAGCGACGGATCTCGCGAAGAGCGACGGTACCGGGCTTGTAGCGGTGAGGCTTCTTGACACCACCGGTCGACGGGGCGCTCTTGCGGGCTGCCTTGGAGGCCAGCTGCTTGCGGGGTGCCTTGCCACCAGTGGACTTACGGGCGGTCTGCTTCGTGCGCGCCATTGTTGAGATGTGAGGTTGATGAAAAAGTAATGTGGCGGATTGTGCTTTGATGATTGGGTGGATGTGAGATGATGATGTTGTGAGAGAAATTATTTGGTTAGGTGGGGTGGGCGGCGAAAGGTTTAAGTAGCCAGCAGCAGTCCCAGACGCGTTGCAGGCTGATTCGGAAGAGTGGGGCATAAAGACAGGGGTGTATGTGTTTTGGGGCTTTTATTTTGGGTGGCTCCTTTTTTATTCTCGCTACTCGATTTAGCGGTTATGGATCTCTTTGTTGTGCGGAGGTAAAATGTGTAAAATACCAGGCTATCGATTATCAAGTTGCTGATTTATGATTGGCTTAAAGACACGCCTAGAATGGAACATGATCACGTGTGCAGGCAGAACGACTGTTTAAAATTAATTACGCGAATGCGTTTGCTGTTGGCAGCGCCTCTCAGCTTGCTCTTGTCTGCTCCTCAGATATCCGATGCTTTGCTTTTTGCGCCCCGTCTCCGAACCACCCATGTATCTGAAGCCTGCCGATTCCAGCAAGCGATAGTCCGCTCGCGTTCTCATGCAACAATCTAGTCCAGTAATGCAAGGTCCACAAGTTTCGTACTCCGTAATAAGCAGCTCTGACCGCGTTCGACATTTTTGCCGGTGTTTATCGGGCACGAAATCTGATTGGCTAAATTTTTCGCCCAGACCAAATTGTCTCTTCTTCCAAGCCGCCCGTTTTCCTGTCAATTCCTGCCCGAATCAGCCACTGATCTGGACTCCGCCCGCATCAGCCGCGCTGCCACCCAGCCCGCATTTAAAGCTGCCTGTTCCCCGCTGCTCTGAGCGTTCTCTCAGCCTACACTAATAACGCAAGTCTCGTTTCATTAACACCAATCAATTCCTTCGTTCACCTCAATACTTTACTCTCATCAATATGACTGGACGTAAGTGTCAATCCTTAATCCTTTTGTCACTGCTATGGGTAAATAGTCCTAACATCTCACAGGTGGCAAGGGTGGCAAGGGCCTCGGCAAGGGCGGCGCGAAGCGTCACCGGAAGATTCTTCGTGACAACATTCAGGGTATTACCAAGCCCGCTATTCGGCGTCTTGCTCGTCGTGGCGGTGTCAAGCGTATCTCAGCTCGTAAGTTCACTCTTTTGTCTGCAAGTGGCTACTCTTTGCTAATATGGCTTAGTCATCTATGAGGAGACACGTGGTGTTCTGAAGTCCTTCCTTGAGGGCGTCATCCGCGATGCGGTCACGTACACTGAGCATGCCAAGCGGAAGACAGTCACGTCTCTTGACGTCGTCTACGCATTGAAGCGGCAGGGCCGCACCCTGTATGGTTTCGGTGGTTAAATATTTGATGATACACCCTTTCTTTGCGGCTTGGTCGGTTTGGGCAGTGACGACGATTATGGGATTTGCTTACTTTGGGGTATTTGTAACATACGGGCATTATGGTGTTTCTACGTGGCTATCGTAATTGATTCTTCCCTGACTGGGGCACTCGTGCTTTGTTTCATTCGTATCACGTATATCACTGTGGCTTGTTTGGTGGCGCACGGCAGCTTGAGTAATGCGCACCTAGTAACCTACCTCTATACTTGTCATCTTTATACGTGAGAATGTCCACCTTGGTTACCATAGGATGGCTATGTTGTCTTTGATTTTTATCGGAACTTCTGGCCTCCGGTTATCCTGTCCGGTTAAAGAGGCACTGTACGTACTTGTAACTCGTCTGGGTTGGTAAAGCTGTTCAGTGATATACTTCGCATCCCAAGCATTCAGCGGACTAATACGATATTGGTGCTTATGTTTATGGTATCTCATGTGTTATCTACTTTTATGGGGGGTTTGTTGCATCGACGATCATACTACGGAGTATCATTCATACTTAACATATGTGGGTTTGGAGCAATACTGTATTCCACTTGGACTACTTCTATGTCCGCGTGGTCGAATTATTTAAGACAGTCAACATACCATTATTATATGTTATTAACTTCCTGCTTGGCATCAAGAGTCCGAATGTCATATCTCTATTTTTATCACTCACTTACTTACAACAATAATAGGCAGTATCCTGCCATACCTGCAAATGACTAGCTAACATGGCCTTGCTGTGTATGTAGTAGGGGCCGTCTATATAATCATACAGCAATACGCCCCTTTGCTACTTAGGAAGGGCACATCGCAAACTGGTAGAGGATAAGATAAGAAAGGTTAAGATTAGTTACGTGTAAAACTCGCTTGGCCTGTGTTTTCGTTGCATCTTTAAACATTGTTGGGCACGTACTCCGTATGACATTTCAACAAGGAGATAAAATCAGTTCCCATTTCTCAAATCCGTTCTTACAGTATTTTAGAGAGTGATATTCCCCGTACTACTATCATGTATGTTAAGCACTTATTGCGGAATAATAAACTACTGCACGTGCAGTTTACGCGGCTAATACAAAACCTAACCTGTCAACCTCTTCCGCCATCAGCTGAGCTGGGGATTTTCTGGACAACAAGCTTTCTTAGCTAGCTAGATTATTCGTTCCTTTTCCAGAAGTGCAATTTACAAAGCCTATTATTTAGATAGAGCCCTTCGACAATATGAGTCGTGCGTATCGATACAAACTTAGTCGATGAGCTTAAACTTGAATGCACGGCCGTCCGCGACTTACCAGACTGATGGTTCTGCTATCGGTATAGGCAACTACACCAGGTCAATTTGGCGAAATCCCAACACCGCGATCTTTGACTTTCTTCGTTGAAATATTGTAGCTACCTATATATACACACATAAGAGAATACCAACCCTAAATGTTAATCAGCGTTATCTACAATGATTATCATCACCAGTTTTAACACTCGGCCCTACCCATGTACATAGGCATATTGTACGGAGTATGCCCGGCTCACCCAAAGGTCGGTAGGCTCCGATGGCCGACATTGATCGAGTTAAAGGATGAATATAAAAAGTAGGCGGTGCAACGAAAGACAAGACGCCAATCCGTCCATATACTTCGGTCTTCAAAGGTGATGGGCAGCATACATAAATACGAGTTTACGGCCAGTCCTTCCACGGTCAGTAACACTTGTAAGTAGCACAACGCGGGAACACCCACGTTAGACAACTTTTACACGACCAGAAGAAACAGCGGCAACTACTCTCCATGCTCTTTGCATCATACAATAGCATTATACAATAATATTGATAGAATTGCGTACATAGCACCCTAGAACAGGAGGACGCTCTTATAACGTAAAATAATGTAAGACCGTAACGGTACTCTGCTATCAGCCTAGAAGAGGAAGTAAGTGCCTATATATTATATAACAAACAAAACTAATTAAACTAGAAGAAGCAAATTAGCTAGCACTGTACATGTTCCTAACACGTTAAACATACTTTATTATACAGATAATCTGCTAACCCTATTACGTTATTAGGGTTAAAAAAGGGGCAAAGTAGCAGTAGTATAATATAAGAGTATTCTACGCACGCACTCTACGCACCGGTTCGGCGACCCATCGCTTACTAAGCGTTAGACTTAACAAACTATCTTAACATGTAAATAGGGCAGAGCATAGCTACTTTGTTATGCTATACCCTCTTAGGGTTGCGCTATTATGCACCTTTTATTTATATATAAATTAGACGGCAAGCTTTTACTTACTAGTCTTTTATAGTTTGCTAAGTTAAAGTTTTAATATAATAGTATAAGTATATTTAAGCCTTTATAACTATATATTATATATAAACCCTTATATATTAGTATATCTTTTACTATTAAAAGCTTATATACCTTTTATAAAGTAGTTACTTTATAATTAGCCATTACTTTTTATAAAATAGAAGTTAAATAATATAAAGTTTAATATATAATATATAGTTA